TCTCTCATGGTTCGTCCACCCCTCCGATTTCCCCCGCTTCATTCCTCCCCTCCCGCTACCTTCTTCTTCTTGGGTGACAGTAGTTTTAAAGATGCCACGCGATCCCACTGAGCAGCAGAGTTGCCCCTGCCCCCTCTGTGCTGCCCACCAGGCGAGGGCTGCTGGACTGGAGCTGGTCAGGCTGCACCTGAGGGTGTGTGGACTTGGGCTGAGGAGAGAAGGGGCCAGTGGGACGGGGCAGGGAGGGACGGGATGTTTGGCCTGCAGCAGAGCCCCCTCGGGGGGTGGGAGGGCACCCTGCAGCCTGCCTGTGGGAGAGGGATTGGCGGGGGGTGGGATCTACAAGGAGCGGGAGTGGAGATCTCTGTTCCATCTAAGAGTTTTCTACTTGAGTTGTCCAGGGATGGGGGGCTGCCTGACCCCCGTGAAGGAGAGGTGGTGATTCCCTTTGCCTGGATGTATGTGAGCAGAGGCGTGGCGGGGTGCTCGAGCCCCAGCACGCACACCCCCATCTGCAGTCTGGGCTCTGCAGGGAAATGCGCGCCTGCAGACCCCAGTGCTCCCCGGGGTGGGCTCCGATGCTGAGACTCCTCTTCCCGCCGCGCCGGACTCTGCACACGCCCAGGGCTCAGCCCGTGCGGCGGCAGGTACAGGCTCTGACTGCGCTTTCTGGCCCGAGCAGGTGCTCCGGAGGCACATCCTGGGCTCCATCGTGCAGAGCGAAGGCAGCTACGTGGAGTCTTTGAAGCGGGTACTCCAGGTGCGACTCCAGGGGCCTCTGGGGAGACAGCAGGGAGGGCCCCAGAGGGACACTTTATGAGGAGTGTTGGGGGGCTGGGGACAGTTTTAAGGGGAAGGGCCACAGGCCAGCACTTTTATGGGGGCAGCAGGAATTCCTGACGCCTTGATGTTCACAGGGGGACTGCATTTTGGAAGCAAAGTTGAGGGTTTGTGAAGTGAGGTGTGCCCTGTAGGGTGGAGGGCACCGTGCCTTCCTCGTCTCTCCGGGAGCCTTGGGGCAGGGTCGTGTCCCCCATCCTCCTGGGGCCCCCTGGAGGCTGGAGTGGATGCACCCTCTCTCTGGCCGTCAGGATGCCCAGGCGTTACCATGTCAACTAACATGTCAACCTGGTCAGTAGTCGGCACTCCTGATGTGCTGAATCCTCTGGGATGCTGTGGCTTCGAGAGAGGCCACCAGGGAAGGCAGTTGTTGGGGTCGTGGGGTGTTCGTGACACCCTTCTCCTCCCCTCCTGAGTTCGGATCCACAGAAGGGGAGCCCGGGCGTCAGGCAGGGAGAGATGGAAATATCACTGTGTTCCTGATCAGTGGGTCGGAGTGTGGCTCTGGTTCTGGGGGCCAAGGGAGCTAGGCCACTTCTCCAGTCAGGGGACTGGCTCAGTCATTGGCAGAGCTGGATGGGGCCAGCCAGGGCCTGGGGGCCTTGCCTCCTTCGGGCTCCTTGAGAGCGTCTTCCTCCCAGCCCCGCTTCACACCCAAGTCAAGGGGGTGGGTTGTGGGTAGGCAAAGAGGGGCCAGGCGTGTTACATTCATGGAGATCCTTCCAGAAGGAGGAGGAGTGAGGGAAGGTCTACCCATGGTCCGCTGAGTTCTTCTGGGCCTTGTCCATGTTGCCCAAAGGGCAGGTGGGGGAAGGGGCTGTGGCCTGGCTTTGGGGTGCTTACCGCCCCGGCCCTGCAGGATTACCGCAACCCCCTGATGGAGATGGAGCCCAAGGTGCTGAGCGCCCGCAAGTGCCAGGCGGTGTTCTTCCGTGTGAAGGAGATCCTGCACTGCCACTCCATGTTCCAGATAGCCCTGTCCTCCCGCGTGGCTGAGTGGGATGCGACCGAGAAGATCGGGGACCTCTTCGTGGCTTCGGTACGTATCCCCAGACTCTCAGGTACAAACTGCAGCGCTCACCTGGATGCCGTCCTGGCCGGCATCCTGCCGTCCCCTGGTCACCTGTCCAAGCCGGCAGGGTCTGGGGGTCGCAGGGCCTGGGTCTGCCTGGCCCCAGCTGGGGTGGGCGCGACACCTTCTAGTAGGTCCTTGAAGGTGTCCGTGGCTGTGGTGCTGGTGAAGCCCTCACGCTGTCTTGGCCTTGCCTGGTGGCAGCACCTTCAGGAGGCCGGACACCATGGGCGGTCACCGGCTGGTCTGTGGCTTCCTGCCGAGTGCTCCTGGGGTGCCCACCGTCCGCGCTGCTTGCGCAGACTGTGGCTTTGGCCCCCAGAGGACGCCGCGGGGCATCGGGCGGGCGCACTTGATCGCACTCCAGGCGGCCTGGCCAGTCCCAGCTCAGTTTTGTCACCTCGGGCAGCTCCAGGGCTCTCTCTGGGCTCGAGTCCCAGCTGAGGGGGGTTCTTCGTTTTTCAAACTGAAGTCTGTGAGCCCCAGAGCGATTCATGGGGGGTGGGGGGTCAAGTCGGTGGAACTCCACTTTGATCTGTTGTAGGTAATTGGGTTCTCCTAAAAGAAAAAAAATATATCGTTTTGAAAATCCCAGCACTCAACAGATCTGATGCCCTGGGTCATGTGGACACGGCCTGGGAGGAGGAGTGCCGTCCTCGTGGCTGGAGGGCCAGGGCATTCTATTTCCTGGGGGTGGTGAGGAAGGGCACGGAGAGGGGGGCATCAGGCACCACCCCCACTCCTCCTTCTCCCTTCACCCTCCAGGGCTGCTCAGCTTGGGGGTGGCGGGAGGGTCCCTGGTCTCTTGGCACCACCTCTTCCTCCCTGGGACCGCGGGCATCTCTCCAGCTCTCGGAGCCTGGTTTCCTCCCCTCAGTGGGGTGACAGGTTTCCTGCCCTCAAGGCTGGTTGTGACCGTCCATCCGGGTAGCCAGTACCGAGGGTGGGGGTGCTAGCCACCCTCCCCCCCCATGTCACAGTGACCCTCCCTCCCTGCCCCCATGTCCGTTCCAGTTCTCCAAGTCCATGGTGCTAGACGTGTACAGCGACTATGTGAACAACTTCACCAATGCCATGTCCATCATCAAGAAGGCCTGTCTCACCAAGCCCGCCTTCCTCGAGTTCCTCAAGGTGGGCCAGCGGGAGTCCAGGGCCCCTCTCAGTGGGTTTCTCAGGAGGAAGAGGGCACTGGGGCCCAGCTTTGGGGGTCCCATCATCGCTGGGGCCTGGATACCTCCCCTCTTTCCTTTGGGACATTGCCAGTGCCATGGGAAGAAAATCGGCCCCTCTTGCCCCCCCAGGAGGAGGGTGATAATGAGTTAGAGGGTCTGTAAGCTGGAGCTCGGCCAGGTGGAAGGGGAGGCCGGCGACCTCTCTTGGACGGGTGGGGTGACAATGGGTGGGTCTGTGGTGGGTGACTGTGTTCCTCTGTTGGGCTGGGCTTGGGTGGGTCTTCAGGTATGGCTCAGGTTGTCACCGGGCTGATCCCTTTTCCTCATTTGGGAAAGGGTGAGGAAAGTTCCTCAGAGGGCTATCTTGGGGACCACGTGGGAGAATAGAGGTAAAAGGACCAAGGTATCAGGTAGCCGTGGGCAGCTTCCCCTGAGTTCCTGGGCTGTGCAGTCAGGTGAGTCAGACACAGACCTTGCCCTCAGGAAATGTGCTGCCTAGCGGAGGGTGTGGGTGGGCTAGGTGGGGGAGGAGCCGGAGCCCCAGCCAAGGAAGCCCCTGCCCCACTCCAAGAAGGTCAGGGGGCTTTGTCAGTGGAGTGTCATCTGTTGTAACAGGTGGAGACAGAGGACAGGGTGTTCCAGATACAGGGGTGGTGGGGCAAAGGTTAGAGGCAGGTGGGTGGGGATGGGCAAGTCTGCTTGGATCCTGGGAGCACTGGGGGCCTATCTGGGAGTTCTAGGGGACAAGGCCCAGAGGCGGCTAAGTTCAGTTTGGATGGTCTTGGATCTCAAGGCCCAGGTGGCTGGGCCCTCATATTTCAGGCAGTGGGAGCCACTGAGGAGTTTTGGGCCTGGGCAGATGGAAGTGGAGGCCAGGGAGGAAGCTGAGGCAGCAGGCTGGGGGGCAGGGTGTGAGGGCCGGAATCAAGGTGACAGGCATGTGGATGGAGCGCTGGAGACGGATGAAAGAGGACAGCAGGACCCCCGTGCCTGCCCCTCAGCCTGGCCCGGGCCTGGCTGCCTTAGTTCACGTGGAGGGCGTGGTTGCCAAGGCTTCTCCTCTGGTCTCCTGAGGAAACTGCTCAGTCCCCCAGTTATGCTGTTAGTCTGGAGGCCTTAGCCCGACTGCTCTAGTCTGCCCAGGCTGGGGGGCTGTGCGGGGGACCCTGTGGCAGCAGAGTCCTGGCTGCGGAACCAGGGACATCCGGGGCTCTCCTCTCAGGCCTGAGGCTGAGCAGGGTACTGGGCCCCAGCCGGGGGGCGGGGGAGGAGAGCCCAGGACTGGTGGCGTCTGCCCTCTGGGGCACTCGGCACCCCTGCAGACAGGGGTGGAGGGGTGGGGGCTTGGTGAATGATTCCACCTGCTCTCCAACAGCGGCGGCAGGTGTGCAGCCCGGACCGCGTCACGCTCTACGGGCTGATGGTGAAGCCCATCCAGAGGTTCCCACAGTTCATCCTCCTGCTTCAGGTATCATGTTTCATGTGGGGTGCTGACGGCTGCGGACCTGCAGGGTGTGGCCCGGGCTGGCGAGCCCCCTGGGGTGGGGGCTTCTTGTCCGTCATCCACAACCCATCCGTCTGCTTTGGACGATGAGCAGGACCTTGACCCCATAGTGCCCTCTTTCTCTACTCCTGGAGTGGACCTGATCGTGTCGGACAGCTTCTTGTGCACCTCCCTGGCGTGGAGGGCTGGGTGCCTGGTGGTGGCAGGAGCCCAGGTTGCAGGAAGGGAACGAGGGCGTGTGGACTCCCAGGCCCTCGGGGGTCCTGGCAGCGGGGCAACGCTCAGGAAATGAGCTGACTTTGGCCACTCCGGGCTTCTAGAGGGAGTGTTCGTCCCCTCACAGGGCTCCCCCCAAGAGCTTGGGACACCTCCCCTGATTGCCAAGGGCCCTTAGTCAGGGTAAGCCCCCGCCCCGCGGCTCCCCCCCCACCCCCCCGCTGAGCTTGGTGGGGCGGCTGCTAGGCCAGGGACCCCTGCGGCACTTTCCTCTCTGTCCTCAGAGCTGCCGGCTGCATGAGGGGGCTTTTATCTCAGCAAACTGCTGATCAGTGAATTAGTGATTGATCCACATATTTATTTTATATTTTCATTCATTAGCTATTTCTTGAGGCCTTGTTGTATGTCAGGTACCATCTGTCTTGGCCAAAAGTGGGGTACCTTCAGCCCCTGTCTCTGCAGGAGGTGGGAGGGTGAGGCTTTGATCCCAGGCCAGGGGAGGGAGGGTCTGCTGGGGTGGGGTTCTCAGCCCTGGCTCTCTCGGGGTCCTGGCAGGATATGCTGAAGAACACCCCCAGGGGCCACCCGGACAGGCTGTCCCTGCAGCTCGCCCTCACGGAGCTCGAGACACTGGCCGAGAAGCTCAATGAGCAGAAGCGGCTGGCCGACCAGGTGGCCGAGATCCAGCAGCTGACCAAGAGCGTCAGCGACCGTAGCAGCCTCAACAAGGTGAGTGCCAGGTCCCCCCCACCTGCGAGCCTTTACCTGCCCTGCGGCCTTTAACACCTGTCGCCTTGCCCCTCGGCCGCCCACTAGGTGGCAGTGTTCTCTGAGGGAGGGGAATCCTTGATTCTGAGCACACAGACCTTACCTTGAGGATTAGAGTCTACACTGCACCCCCACATTCATTACTATCCATGTTATTTTAGGATAAAAGCTGATTTTGTCCATCAGTGTCATTGCCAGGAAAGACACCAGAAATGACAGTCTAGCATCATGCTTATACAAGGAAGCTCTGGGGTCAGAATCTGAGTTTGAATCCAGATTTTGCCAATGGTGCTCACTGTGTGGCCTCAGGGGAATCACCCATCCTCTCTGAACCTCACTCGCTCCCTCTGAAATGCGGAGAACTCAGCGGTGCCTGAGCCCAAGGCTGCTGCTAGGCAAACAGAGGAGTCCTTAATATAAGGTGGTTGTCATCATTACTAGTGTTATTTGTAAAGGAGAAAGAGAGAAAATTCATGCCATGTTTTGGGGTTGCAACTCAGGAACATTCTAGTAAAAAAAAATCTTGGAAAACTTTCAAACGAGTCCGTAGAGAACCTTGTTTTCAAAATACAAAGCTGGTACCCAAAAGCGTCATCACCTCGAGTCACCTGTTGGTGCACATGACATGAGGTGCTGGAAGCCGCTCCCAGACCCCGGGGGGCCCTGCACCCTGGGCGCCCTGCACCCTGGGCGCTCCCTGCTTTCACCCGCAGGAGGGTGGAGGGTGGTGGGGATGGCTCAGGTGAGGCAACCGTGTCTTAGGGCACAGAGGCAGGGACACTAGCTGTTCTTTGGGGCAGAGACATTGTGTAGGGTCATCACAGGGAGGTGTTCAAATCTTTCAGGGAAAAACTGGGAGCCTCCTGGCTCTGTGGGTTTCAAAAGCAGAAGTAAGGCCAGTGAGATTTTAGCCACATGGGGTAGAACTTTCTAATAGTACAGGAAGCTTTGCCCAGAGGACAACAGCCCTTTCCAGGTGGCCTGCACTTTACAGTATATAATACTAATCTACGCTACCATCTTTGATCTTTGCCACAGGCCTGCGAAGCCTGGACAGGATGGCCTGCAGGGTTCTGTGCAGTTCTAAGCTTCAGGGGTCCTACACCTTTTTTTTTTTTTTAAAGATTTTATTTATTTATTGTCAGAGAGAAAGAGAGAGCACAAGCAGGGGGAGCAGCCGAGGGAGAGGGAGAAGCAGGCTCCCCACTGAGCAGGGAGCCAGATGCGGGACTCGATCCCAGGCCCCCGGGGTCATGACCTGAGCCGAAGGCAGACGCTCAACCGACTGAGCCACCCAGGCGCCTCCAGGAGTCCCACATCTTAAGACTCTCGCTCCTCAGGTCAAATTCAGGCTGTACACGTGCTTTTAGGCCCACACGGTATTTTTATTTTTATTTTTATTTTTTAAAGATTTTTATTTATTTATTTGAGAGAGAGAGAATGAGAGACAGAGAGCATGAGAGGGAGGAGGGTCAGAGGGAGAAGCAGACTCCCCGCCGAGCAGGGAGCCCGACGCGGGGCTCCATCCGGGGACTCCAGGATCATGACCTGAGCTGAAAGCAGCCGCCCAACCAACTGAGCCACCCAGGTGCCCCCCACACGGTATTTTTAAGAAGATGGAATCGGTTGCCATCAGTTAAAAATGGAAAGCTGCCCATAGAGTCCAGACTGGTAGATCTTCTCGAAGGGCTGGAAGAACTGGCACACTGGCCTGCCTCCCTGCAGGCCACCGGCCACCTGAGGAGTAGCTGCCCACGCCCCCTCAGTCCCCGGTCCCTCCCTGCCTCCAGGCAGGACTCCCTAACCAGCCCCAGGCCGGCCCTCTATCTCGGAGTGTCTCTAGAAAGACAGGCTTCAGGCCAGCCTGGCACCTGCGCTGGTGTCTGATGGTCTGTGCACTTGGGAAGTGTCTTCTTCGGTCCCCTCCCTCGGCCCCTTCTCTGTAACCAGCAGGGTCTCTCTGGCTTCAGCCCGCACACCTGTATCGCAGCCGGTGCCAGTGGAAGAGCTGGCTGGGCAGGAGGGAGTCCTCCGTAGCACCTGCTCCGGGCAGACCCACTGTTCTCTTCTGCGCCGTCCCCCACAGGGATCCGGGCAGTAAGGAGCCGTGGTCACTGGCTGGAGGCCAGGAAGACCTGTTTGGTGTTGGGCAAGGAACCGAAAGCTCCGAGCCTCAGTTTCTCCCCCTGTCGGGCGGGGGGCGTTTGTGAGACGTGTGGGACGTGGTTGTGGCAGCGACATGGCCGCACACTGTGCCTACCGCTGGCCAGGGCCCCCCTTGGGCAATCTCGGCCAGTTCTGAGACCAGTCCGGTGATTTTCCTCTTGCCGTCTGTCACCCAGGGAAAAGCAGAATTGAAACTGGGTGTGCCGCCAACAGAACCCTGCCGGCTATTTCAAAATGTGCCTGCTCAGGACCCTCCAGGGGAGTGTTTGTGCAATATCCGTTTTTTTCCCCTTTTATCTGCCTACGGGGCAGGGGCATGATTGACAGCGGCCCAGGGGACTTCCAAGTTTTAGGTCATGGCACACTTGGGCGGTCTTCAGTGGGGCCCGCTGTCTTCAGGGCTCCAGTCTTGTTTCCATGAGCTGGCGTCAGCTTGTTGATGGAGCTGGTGGCATAGGGGAGCCTGGCCTTAGCAGTGACGAGAGGCCCCCTCAGGGACCCTGAGTCATTTTTGTGTCAGGAGCAGTGGGGCCTCTGTGACCCCGTCACACGCAGCTGGTCGCCCGGTGCTGGGGACAGCATGTGCGCCTGGCCGCGTCCTGCGCCGCCGCCGCTTGGCAAGCCGCTTAACCTCTGGCATCTTGGCTTCCTCCTCTGGGAATGGGGGTGGCCGCGGGCTGCGGAGCTGGTTAAATGGGAAGTAGGATACTTAGTGCCAAGGGCAGTGCCCGGCAGGCAGTGGGCATTGGTACCATTTCAGGCTTTTGGGCAATCCGGGACACATGGTTCTAGGGAGAGTGACAGGGCCGTCTCTCTGGGGGGAGGCTTGGGGTGATCTGCCCTTTCCCAGCAGGGGTGAGGAGGGAGGGGAGGATGACTCTTGTCATCGGAGTCATGGGTTTTGGGAATGAATTTTGCTGAACATTATCCTCCCCTCTGCAAAAAAAGAAAAAAAAAAGTCCCTCTCAGTAAAAAGCTGTTTTCCTGGTAGGTCCCTGAGTAGGATGGTGGTCCTGGAGCTGGCAGGGGCTTCTCAGGGTCCAGCCTGAGATTGGCAAACGCCTGCTTGGATGCCTGAGGCCTGAACATCATTGACTAGCAGATCCGTGCAGTCCCCTCGTGCGGCAGGCTGGCTGGGGCTGTTCAGTTCGGGGTGCAGGGCTGGGGCCTCTTCCAGGCCCGAGGTCTCCCCAAGTGAGGCCACACCTCTTCATGGCGAAGACCATCACAGACAGCACGGCCCGTGGGGACAGCAATGTCCCCAGTCGATGGGAGTACCCATGTGCAGGGCCAGCTTCTTGGGTGTGTGACCAGAGCTGTCGCACGGGGCCGGTGCTCAGGAGGGCCCCGCACTTGGGTTCCTGTTCTGCTGTTACTGTCCTGAAATCCTTAATACCATTTGAACGAGGGCCGCATGTTCATTTTGCACCGGGCTCTGAAAATGATGTCGCTAGACCCGGTCACGCGTTACCATGGTGATCTGAGTGGTGGATCCTCGCCCCCCTTGATAGCTGGGGTGTGGGCAGGTGAAGTGACCTACCGGAGGGTTCTCTAGCTGGTGAGCAGGCAGCCAGGGTGGGAGCACGCGTCTACGACTCTAGCTTGTGTCGCTGGTGGCGACTGCCGCGGGGAGGGGTGGCGGGGGCTGGCACACCTGAGAAGGGGTGCGGGCTGCGGGACAAGGGGGGCAGCAGAGAACACAGTGTGCCGTCCTGTGGCCTCCTCCCCAGTGCCTCTCGCCATGCCAGGGATGGAGGGCCTGGCCCCACCTCCTCCTCTGCCTCTCCCAGCCCCAGTCCCTGCTGCGCACAGAGAGGGGTTCTGGCTCCTGGGTGCAGTGATGGTCGCGTGGCAGCCTGTGTGCTGGTGTGGACTCTGCTCTGTCTCCTTCTCACAGCTCTTGACCTCGGGTCAGCGGCAGCTGCTCCTGTGTGAGACACTGACAGAGACTGTGTACGGTGACCGCGGGCAGCTGATCAAGTCCAAGGAGCGCAGGGTCTTCCTGCTCAATGACATGCTGGTCTGCGCCAACATCAATTTCAAGTAAGTGGGCCTGGGTCGTAGCCCGCTGTAGGGACGCCCCCTCCTAGGGGGAGGACATTCTGTTGTGCCCAGGTTTCTAGACTGGCCTCTCTGTGATGAGGTCTAGTGTGGCCTCGGCTTGGGTTTCAGACATTCCGGCTTCCTCTCCCATCCCTCTTGGCCTGCTCTCTCCCTAGTACACTAGTCCCCAGATGGGGAGCATCTGGAAGGATCATCCAGGCCCACCCCTGGCCTTTGGGCCAGCAGCTGTCCTTCCTGCAGAGTGGTCTGTTCTAGAACTCTGCTGTTGGTAACTGAACAGCTTCCTGGGTTTCAACCACTCTGAGATTCCAGAGATTTTGGCCCGAGCACCGTCTCCCCCACAGAGCCTGGTCTCCTGGTTCTGAGACTGAGGTGGTAGAAATGCCTGGAGCTGGGCTTCTAGGTTGTACCGGAAAGAATCGGAGCTTGGATGGGGTGAGGGCGATTGTGCCCCATGGGTTGTATCAGGCCTCCAGAAATCTTTTATTTGCCTCACACAGGGAGTTCGTGCAAAGATTGAGACATTTTTGACTTCTCTTGAAAATCTGAAGGGCCAACATTCTGGGCCCACATTGCCCAGGGCCATATGGGCCTGGAGCTGGGTCACGTGGCCTCCTTACTAGGGCTCGTGCTCTGCTGGGCTTCATGGTCCCCACCTGGCCCCGTTTGCTCACTTGCATCTCCTGCTGGGCCCTGTGGCCGAGGGATGGTGCCCAGATGAACTCCAGCTGTGATCTGTCCAGCTGGGACTCTTAGCCATTCAAGTGGAGCAGACTCTGCTCTCAATATTTGACAGCACTTTAAAAATCATCGCGGAAGCACCAATATGGTGACGATAACTGAGATCCAAAGGGACATCATCTGTACCCCTCACCTGGAGCACCTGTACAGTGGGGGACGCCTGTGGGGCCTGATGTAGGCTCTGCACCCAGAGTCGGCTGGTGCAGACACGGCCATGGAGTGGATTTGGGGATAGTCTCCATCGCTGTGGCTCATGCGCCCTGGAACAGGAGCATGCAGGGCCATCCGGGGACTCCCAGGCTCTCTCACCCTCACCCATCCACCCACCCATCCATCCATCCATCCA